CAGGCCTCATGAAAGCCAATTTCATTATATCAAACAATTATGCAGCAGTTTGGTGTGTAATTATATCTTATTCTTCTTACTATACAAGAGCAAAAGTATAAATTAAAGCATGACATGCTTTTAGAAGAAATTACTAGTGCAGGCCTCATGAAAGCACATGTTGCGGGCTAGGGATTTCATAGTTTTCGATCTGTCAAAAAACCACACCGAACTCGTGGACCTACTATATGTACCTACATTGCAAAGAATTAACATTTATACGTCTTTGTACACCCGGTATATTATTCGTGGGAGATTATTGAATCTATTGAATAAGAATTTCATCCTAATTTTTACGGGGTGATTTCTTTTCTTATTAAACATTTCTCTTTAACCCCTATTCGTAATACGGGCCTCCTGACCACATATGCTTGTACCGGTTTCTATGTGTGATAATAGAATTAAAGTCAAGTAAATGCGAGACAAATATATATATACTGGCTATTAAATTGCAGACACTTGGCACGTCCTACACGCTAAGCAATTCTCCATGTAAACTTGACAATTACTTAGCCAGACATTGTCTACGTCTTTTATATTTCAATTGTTGAATTTACAGCAACGGGAGTGGCTCGACTATTTTATTGATAATTCTGTCGAGACAAAGTAACAAGAAACGTATAAAACAATAACGTATATTTTTATTAAAATTTGTATTAAAAAATTCAGTCACTAATTCAATTTCCAGCATGACATTCCTCGCGCATTAACGTTCTGCATTAACGTCAGGTTCCTTGTGATAAATTCAATTTATCAATTATCAACATAGACAAGTCCATTATCAATATAATACTCAGTCCGGTCCAAGAAGTCGAATCACGTTCTTCTCTCGCGATTGCTAATGACAATTTCGTGTTTTAATGATACAAAATAAATAAATCGTTCGAGACTCGCAAGATCATTGACTCTGCGAAGATTATTTTTGTTACAAAAAAAAATCCAAAAATTTTATACCTGCTGGATCTAGTCAAAATAATGCTCCTATGAGACATTTCTTTCAAGACGTTGGATTCATATCATTGTCTTACGGGCACCTAGAGGTCTGGGAGTCAACATGACTAACCTGATAAATAAAGCCGTAAAATCATTACTTTTTCAAGAATTTAACACCGATGACTCATAATGACAGTTCGATGTTCAGTAAAAAGAACGTTTCAGTCGAAACCGGTGTTGGATAGCAAGTATTTACTATTTACATTAGATACGTGAACTACGACGCAGATTGGATTCGATCCAATTCCATGGTTTGTCGACAGAACGTAAATTTATCAATTTTTCATTTGCTTTTTTGATGATGCCGACATCACAGATAAAAGTCAATAATGATATTAATGACGTCAGCACGAAACTGTTCGATGCGGAGATATAGACTTCTGATAATTATAAAAATCGAGTGAGTAGTGCGTACCTGCTTTGAGACAGGTACGCATAGTTTATTATGTATCGGATCAAGCCTTATCAAAAACATTGATAAGAGATAATTCCAAGTAGCAGGAGTGCCGAGAAGCTTCCTATTGATTTTATCGTACGTAAACTTCGTGCGCAGGTATCTTCATCTTGTGATAATACCGATGTAAGAAAGAAATGTCCATCGAGACCGTACCCCCGAAAAAAAGACGATTGGACGAAAATAAATTTTTTTTTTAATTTGTCAGATATTGACTTTCCACCGAATAAAAATGTTTTGATATCTAAAGCCAATAACGTTACTGGTTCTCTATTACGGCATTGGACAGTGTTCTATACCTTAGCAGATACTATCTTGAATATTTCAAGCAATAATCGTCAATATGGCTAATCCAAATATATATATGTACCTGCTGATACGTAATCTACGCCTTTATGCAAATAACGACTGTACAGATTCCGTACAGACGGTATCGATATAGTCATCGCCCGGTAACTTTGTAACGACATAAGATATTCTCCAGGAACGACTGGTATGGAAATGCACGATTCTAAATCCCCTGGATTTGCTTGCGCGCATAGGCAGAATCACGATGGGGATAGGCTTGACAATTTCTATGGTATAAAGTGCGATTTGCATTGCGCGTGCATTTACACGTACTCGGCGTGATACATATGTAAGTACAGTGATACGTAGGCACGTCCATATGTGACCGACAGTAGGTAAGATTGCAGATACGAAACTCGTGCAAATAAACAAAGAATCAGAACGACAGCCAAGCTCTATGTAATTTCCTTAAACAATTTTTCCGTCTGTCATTAAACCCGAGAGCAACGTAAATTAAAGAAAAAAAAAAAGAGATTTGAAGCTACGTATTATAAGTCACTTTTTTTTTAACAAGACTCACCTTTCTTCGGTATCATTGTAATAACATATGTATCAACTCTATTCAACGTCTACCAATACACCATCCATGTACCACATGTGCATATGTCATAATAACACATGTGTCCATACTGGTATGCATGAGTTTAAACTCGATGGAATTTGCGTCGATCTGTCATCGAGATTAATCAATTCCATTGAAATACAAGAGGGCGTGCAGATAGGGACGCCCCTCTCGAATAATCTAATTTCAGTTTAATAAGTAATTAATGTTAAGTAGATGCCGCGAGGTCTATTATTATCATCGGATAAGACCCAGTTGTTGACCGCGTTCGGCAGTCGCTGGCAAACAAAGATACAAAGAGGGTTAATATAATCGGTACAAAGATAAGCCAATTGCTCACCATCTCGTCGAGACTCTTAAGGTCATTGGTGACGATCTGAGGTTGTGGTCCATAAATGAGACAAGGCTCCTCCTGCTGCATCTCCTCGTACTCGTCGTCGCTATCCTCGTTCCCAGCCCCAGCGCCGTTGGCAGCCTTGTTCTCAGCAGCGATCTCGCGATCAATCTGCCGTTCCATCTGGACCAGCATAGGGGCGAGCATGCCGAATTTAGCGCCGCGACGCGCCACCTCCAAAAGACACAGTATCACGTGCCTCTCGTTCTTCCTGAGGATGAGGTCGTCCGTCTCGAAGAGCAAGCACTCTATTATGCCAAGGCTGTTTCGGCACCAGCTGATGAAGTTGGAGACGTTGTCACGGGCAAAGAAAGTACCGGCCTTCGCGTTGGGCAGGAAGGCCACGTCGCTCAGCTGGGTCATCGGGACGGCAAGAGATGAGGTTATGGACCTCGTCATTATCTTTCGTGCCTGGCGACGTGCTACGTACTCGGATGCTGATTTTCGTACGTTGTTCGCGTGCTGAAATCAAAATTTTTCGTGTGATTAAATATAGTCTGTGTTTTAGGTTAGGTTGCCTGACCTCCCTTCGGTGCCTAGTTACCGTCAGTGCCGCGACGTCGCCACTGGCACTGTACGTATGATCCTATGTTGATAGTTAGGTTGACAGTTTACCAATGATAACTATATATTTCAAACTATCTGTCCGAGCAGATGCTCGAAAAAATTAACCTTACGCACAGTTCGAGCCATCCAGTGACCTTTGAAACTTAATTGCAAAGGAGTAACGAGCCGTGGATACATTTAACACTCGCCTAGTGAGGGGTTATGTTTTGCACCTACAAACTCTCGAAGGAAGTCTTCGGAATCCTGTAAACTTTTATTTATCCTTTAGAGGAAGTTGGACCGTTGGTATGCCTCGCGTCGCTTTGGTATAACGTAATATCGAAGTAGTGCCATGGTGAAAGGCAGCCACGCGATCGACTCAATGAAAAGGACAAGAAACCAGCTGCGTATCGGTTCACCAAATAATTAATGGCGTCTTATCCCGCGCGTTTAGCGCCACTCGTAAACGTTAATAAAATCAAATTAATACTGCTTGGTGCTTTACGTGTAAGCAAATAGTGTCTTGCGCTATATCATATAACATATACATATATATATTTATTACAAGATCTCAACCGGTTGACCTGCTTAAATTTTGACATTTCGTGAAAGTCCCCCGCTGTTCCTCATTCACCAGAGATTAATGTTTGTCGCGTGATAAACAAATATCACCGATGCGTATACGATTAATTACCCGTAAAACTATATGACAGTTATCAATATTAAAATTTGGCTTAATCTACCTTTCTATGTAACGTGTAATAAATTCAGTGTATGTTAATCCCCTTTTTCTTGTAAATATTATTCAATAAAAAGATTTCTTTCAGACAGATAAATATCTCGTAAATTTGTTCAAGATTACGGTCGCGTGGGTGCGCGAATAATTTATGTTCGCGTCGCGGATTGTGAACGCACCATTGATACCTGCACTGGCACCGTCACGGGTGTGCAGAGATTTTCTCATTTTATGTGTGGAAGAAAAACATTTTTTAATACCAAAGATCTTTGCCATCCGCTCGAAGTAGGAACTTTTATCGAGATTTAAAAAAAATGCTTTTGCGATTGCGCAAACAGCAGCGCATAAAAGTAACGAAAGCTTCTTTAACGTGTGCGCCGTTGCGATTTTTTAATGTGTGGACGAGGAGGGTTCAATTATTTGGGCGGGACGGGACGCCAGTGAGAGTTAACGACTTTGCATAATTTGTCCAAGTGATTCCATATACGCAGTCGAGCCCAATGGGGAATTTACAATCGATGATTTTTCATCGAGCCAACAAATTGTTATCGCTCGCTTCTCATCGGTATGTCGCTATCGTATATTTTTCATCGCCCTTCCCGTACCCGCCAAGTGTGAAATGAATTTCTCGCGTGGGAGGATAAGTTAATACGACGGTTGATTCGCGATACCGATTTCGATCCGACCTGCCGCGAATGAAGCATCGATTTTTATGTACTCCATATACATAAGAAACCAGTATCAATATATGCATACATAGAACGATAAAAGAAATATAAAAATTTTATTTTTAATTTTTTACCAAAACTAAAAAAATTTTTTAAATTCAAACGATCTTTTATCTACCTGACATCTTGATATATGTATACATGCGAGAGTCCAACAGGGATACAGAACACCCTATAAGTGATTCCCTTCTCTGGACTCGATAAATCATTATTTCGTCATCGAATCGCTGCGAGGCTGCACCGTCGATAAATTCCAGGAATAAACCGAATCACAAATTTAAAACTATAATTAAAATTTAAAATATCTCCGTATTACGCGTGAGCGGTACCAAAATACTAAACTATTCGTAAACGCAGAAAGTATCTTAACGAGGTTGTGAAGAAAAAAAAAAAAGAAATTTCGTAAATCTCAAGACTAAGCTCATCAAAACCAATACCCGTCACGTTTCTTTATCCCGGAATACTCATATACCCGTTTTACAGCGGTAGCCAGAGTGTATGCATTAAAAAAAAAATTTTTTTATCAACACCTAACATTACGTCGTAGACAAATTTATGAGCTGTTACGAGTTTCGGGACGCTTAAAAATCGGCATACGAAAAAGATATTTTTTGTCTATCTCATTTCGACATCGCGTCCCATCGTTGAGCTCACATGTGAGCCCCATAAGGCCCTCCATAGATGCTCGAGGGATATGAAATACTGACGCGTTCGCATGGACGCGACACACAACAGTCTCACCGTCAGTTTGCTTCGTACGTTCTACAGTTCTCATGGATATATATATATATATATATATATATATATATATATATATATATATATATATATATATATATATATATATATATATATATATATATATATATATATATATATATATATACACGTATGTACAACCACAGTAAGGAATTATATCTAAGCGGCATCCGGTCCTCCGCAGCCGGCATCAATTCGTCCCTAGGGATAATCGAGATTAGGGAAGTGGATCCCCACGAAGGGCTCTTCTTACTAGGACACTCGTTCGTTCTCAACGACAATATCGCCGTTCGAGATCGTTCCCACTGTCCGACGACGCGAGCTCGTACGAGCGGATACGGGCGAGCGCGACAAGATAAACCTAAGAATGATTATGATTATTACATCAAGCATAAAACGCGTGACCGAACGACCAAGCGAAACGTGAAATTTGTTTAACACGCATGAACAACATTGCGTAAATTATCGAAGGGGCGTTAATACCGAAGTTGAGAGTCTCTGCGCAAAGAACGAAGCACATATGGTAATATGGTCTGCAGATGAGTTGACGGCAGGATGTCACATTATGTGGCCTATGACCCCTCGTATCGTCTCCAGCCACTCTGGACAAACTGAACTTAATGAAAATGGTCGTTGCATATTTCACATTATAAATTGGAGCGTTTTAACGCCTTATACATATGTATATATATGTACTGCAGTTTACGAGCAAAGTTTACCCGGTGAACATTGTTGATACTGGAGATATTACGAATTTCTAGAAAACATTTGTACAATGAGAAGTAAGATTCTAGTTCGGTACTGATGTTGTCCAAGTTTTCTTTTTTATTTCTCTGACAGTTTGCTTCTTGTTTACCATTGCGGCAATAGGCTTTCTTTTCTCTTTCTCTTTACGAGAAATCCGACTCCCGCTGGTTGGGCACGTAATACTGAATAAGCCTGCGCGACAACGACGCACGCGCCGCCACGCGTCAAACGCAACAAGTTAAAGCATCGAACGGCTTCCATAGAATTTGAAAATTAATATTCCCCGAAGGTCCTTTTACCACTTTTCTGCAGCTGCTTGTACCAGTCGATGCACTTTGTCAACGATTCTTAACACTTTCAGAATATCAAGTGCTACTAATGACTCCCCGTCGCAACTTCCTATCAAGTTTTTATTAGCCGTAAAGAAAAGAAACAAAAAGCATCATAAAATATGAAATCATCGATCAGTCAACGGTTACCATGCGGCTCGTATACGGTTTCTTAACGTTATACGCATACTTGTATCTATTTATGTAAGGAATTATCATCTCTTTATCGTAACTCACGGATTAGATGAGAGTGGCGACTAGCGTCAAAAAGATAGCGCTAATTGGTCTCACGAGTAGAAACTTCGAAAAGACTAAAAAAAAAAGCAAAAGAGAAACAGACAAGAAACATACGATGCTCAACGAGGTATTTAATTCAAAATAAATTCTTCCCGCCAAATCTACTCGATCCAATCCAAACTCTAAGCTCGCTTTGAAAATGTCAAATTCAATTTGCTTTCTTCGGGATTTCCCCATTCTCTCGAGCATCCATGTGTAGTCTATCTACACGTGGCTCTCGTTTCGCTCCTATGGGAATCGAGCGGTAAACAAAGATTCCTTTGTACCGTTACAGTCATAATATTCGGGAGAGTCGGAGTCGAGAAAAAGTAATGCGTGCGCATGCGCGTTCCCCGTAGTACGTTAAAACACGTTCTCGTATTTCGCCTCCCTGCGATGTATAAAGGAACTTTGACACTCGACACTGTACCGAGAATTTCGAACTTTACCGATTTAAACGACCGAAATACGACCGATACGAGAAGTTGGCGATTCGTCGAATAATGGAACATCTGTTCCCGTCGAAGAGGATGGACACTCGTGTTTTAATAGTGTCTTTTTCCATTCTGTCAATATTTGTACACGCTCGACATGGAACGAAATATCATTGATTTCTACCTTACTGCCCGTTATGGAAATAGAGGGGAAAAAGTTTTAAAAGATTTCCTCTATATATAGTATATATATAGTTTTTGGATACTGTTTACATGGTGATGTGTATCGTCAGTCAAACTGTTTCCTATGGGATTCCTGTGAGTCAAATAAATTAAACTCAAAGTCCTGCGGGTTATCCCGAGTCTTAGACACGCTGATCCCCTCTCTCAATTCGTTTTGATCTATTCTCGTAAGATATTTTTTCAAGCCACCCCTAGAGCCGCCACGAAGAACCGGGTGGCTCGTTATATTTAGACTGCAGACGAGGGTGGAATGACGGCAACAGAAAGACAGACGTGCGGCCGTGTTTGTACCATTCATAGTTTCACGTGGGTACTAACTATATATACATATATGCGTGCATATTACTCTATAGTAGATGCATCCATGGTAGGAAGCCAAGAGAAAATAACGACAAGGTTTCACGGCGCATCTTCATGGAAGAAAAAGAAAAACTGTCTTGGCGGGACGATTCTTGGGATTCCTTGAATTAGGGAAAATCCTTTTTTTTCTTTTTTTACTCGCACTATTTATAGGTCGGAACAAAGAGTGAAAGGTGAAGGCACTTTTATTTGTAACAAAATGCAAAAATCTAATTGCTCGCGAACAATCTGCATTTGGTGAATAGCTGAAACATGATTTCTCGAGGATTTCTCGTATAATGCGAAATCCAAGAATCGCGTTAACTGCGAATATCGTAATTTATGGAAATGAAAATCAATAGGAATCTTTTTCGCGTGCGAGCTTTCACGTTAGAATTCGACCTCGATTCGTATAAATTCCTTGAGATTAAATCAAAGGTAGGCTTCCTTCTTCCTGGAATAAGCCAATAATGGCATACAAGATTTCAAAAAAATTTTTTTTTTTAATATCGTCAAACACGTAATAACCCACGTACATATAGTCGATCCTGTTTACAAGAGAAATATTTTTTTCGAAGATACGTTTTTGGTAAAAATTTCAAAGTAACAAAAATCGCCTGGAATTTGACGCTTGCACGGAGATACAGGTCGACTACGTTAATCAAAATCTTGACTGCAGTCGTTCCTACAAGCGTACACCACACATCAGCGCGCATATCGAGAAGCAGCAGTAGGTATTCGCGGAATTGAAGATTGCGTCGGAAAAATTATTCTGATCGAAGTGAATAAAAAAGAAAAGGGTAAAATCAAGGGAATGAGAATATAATTGACACGTCGGTCGAAACCATAAATCCTAATTCCCTGGAAGAGCGGTAAGAAAAGCAGATGGAGCCAATTGCGCTTAATTGCGTCGTGGAATTCTTTTGACTCCAGTTCTTCGGCCATCTTCAACTTCCACTTCCAGTTGCGCATCTTCCACTTCGTCCCTCGGTGTATTCCACACCTTATTCTTGTACTGTTATTTGCCCACAGGTAGATTATCCTCACGATCGAAGGGGGGCCTCCTATGTCGGTAAGGCTGGTACCTGCCTCATTTATTTATCATCGAGTCAATTTTAATTTTTTTTTTTTCCCATTGCCCTCCAATTTAATTCATCGCGTTGCACATACTTCGCCGCCTTCCAACCGTATTACGATATTACACACTCGGTCTGACTTCGTACATGCAGCAGCCATACGATAGAACCACTCGATGACCATATAAGGCGCATCCCCGAGGCGCCTAAGTATTTGTCATTTCCGACAGGAAAGGCCGTTGAACATCGTACGTACATTTCAACGCTGCGATATAATCGTCAGGGCCTTACGGGATATACCTATATAGTACGAGGCATAGGAAATTTTTGGAAAAATTAAAAAAAAAAAAAATCCGGCAAAACATATATTCCTATCGACACGAATTCATACCCTTTACCCGAGGTAACTTTATTGGTATATATATAACATTGAGATTGAACTTTGCACTCTTGCTTTCGATCCACTACCACCAACATCACCGTCCACTCCAATTTTGCGTTTCTTCCTTCTGCATTGACAGTGTCATTGCCATTTATCATGGACCTCAAAAGGCGCCACGGTTAACCGTGACTCGCGATAGATCACGACCTCGCTGTAAATGGTAAAGAGACCTTAAAATAGTGACCTCGAAGAATCACATAGACCTTCCATATGGTTAAAAATCGTACAGATGAGTCAATCGTACAATAGCAAAGTTAGATACGGCCGAGAGGCTGTGGTCCATGAAAAAGTGATATAGGTGAATTTAACGATAGTAAAATATTACACTTTTTTATTTGACTGACTGTACCGATCACGATTATCATTGTTTGCCGTCTATGCCAATACGTAACGTATACGTATGCGTTTACGTATGCATTTACGTATGTAGAACGAGTTTTGTCGACTGGTCTCGTAAAACCTTGCGATATGCAAAGCCCCATAGAAATTCCACAGTGGCGGTACTCTAATCTATGCTGACTTTCTCCGTAGTCGTACTTACATCGTCTACCTACTCTAAATATTTCCCGCAGCGTGAATTTATAACGCGCCCCTCGTTAATGTCACAGCCTCCTTATCCCATTAAGCGTTCCGTTTCAATAAGAGAGAGAGAGAGAGAGAGAGAGAGAGAGAGTGAGAGAGAGCGAGAGTTTCATTCGATAAGTGTCACTGTGACAAGTAGCGTTCCGTTTCAATAAG